TATCAAAAGAAACAAAACAACAAGATATTAATTATGAACATACTTATCAACATTCTTCTAATAATAATAATAAATCATTGTCAGAAGAAATAAAACATCCACATAAACTTTATAGTGATCATCATGATGATCATTACTATCAAATACTCGATAATATAAATAATAAACAACATTTTCAACATCATGAACAAAAAAATCAAACTTATGATTCTTTAGATGTCAATATTATTCATGATCAACATTATATTATGCTAAATAATATAACTTATCAGAATAATATTTTAATTAAACAAAATATTGAACAAAATGAAAATATGAACGTTACAGACAAACAAACATACACATTAATATCTTCTAGTCCTCATCCTGATTCCAAACCTTGTATAGATTTCCACAATGTAGCAACGCAATCTGATCCACATATAATGGATGATCTAAATAATTCAAATGTAAGTAATTATTCCCATATATTTTTTTTTTAATTTAAAATTAAAATTTGTTTTTTATTGTTTTTTAAAAAATTTTATTTATATTTTTTAAAAATCATTTATTGTATTGCTTTAGTACTTGCATTGTAATTTTAAATATATTGCTTGTATATTTAGTAGTTTTTGGGACATTACTTGCAGCTTTAATATAGTTGCCTAAATTTTTTTTATTATATATTTTTACAATACTAATATTATTAGTACAAGTTTAGTTTCTTCTATATTATTCCATATTCTATATTATAATAGAGAAAAGAAAGTATTTTAGAAAATAATAATTGTTAAAAATAACTTTATAATTTTGATTTTATATGATCTATTTTTATTATTGTGTTATTAAATTTGTGTGTTGTTTCATGTTTGTGGTATATGCATTATATAGAGTCTCATTATTAAATATGACGATCATGTAAGGTAATTTTTTATGAATGTATATATGAATGTATATTAATAATTCTAATCTATATTCTTATATTTTATATTCTTAATTTTATTATATTGCAAATGTTTAAATAGAACAATTTTTTTTGATTCTATAGGCTGGTCTTGCTGGTGCCTTGGCTCAAATGACATTAGGTGAACCGAGAAGCTCTGAACAAATTGCATTAGAAGAACATATGCGAAAACAAAGTTGGGAACAAGGTCAAATAGATTATATGGGTCGAGATAGTTTTGATAACATTTGGAAAAAAATTTGTGAAACTCTTGCTCTTGCACCTCTACGATTACCATCTCCTCCTAAAGTAATTAATTGAATAATATGTAATAAATCAAAATAAAATTGGAAAATAAAATTTATTCAGAAATATATTTATAATATATGATTTAGGAAATACGAAAGTCTGTTAAAACTACAATTGATGAAACTGATGAATTTATTAAATCTGCTGAAACTACTCAATTTATTAAATCTACAGATGAAGTGGATAAAAGAACCGGTATGTATTATTTTTATATTATATTATTTCTTATAAATACTTTATGCAGAAATTATTTAATTAAAAATAATAAAAAAAAACAATTTTTAAAGTTAATAAATTTTTATTCTATAATAATTATAATTATTATATAAAAGCAAGAAGAATTCAAAATATTGGTTTCATGTAATAAAATTTTTTGATAATGTAAATTGTATACATATAAAATTAAAAATTAAAGTGCTCGTAATGCAAAGCCATTAATTAACTGTTTTTATAAAGATGCTTTGCGATTTTATTTCCTCCCTATTCCCTGTTAATACAGCATGTGGCATTTACACTCATGAAGATTTTTATAGGAATTTAATTTGAACACAATCAAATTATATTTAATAATATATGCAAAATTTTGACATAATTTAAACAAATGAAACAATATGTTTTTTATACAGTTTATCAAGTTTAAGTGTTTGAAACAGGAACGGAGGACAGCAACTAACAGATCCTGGCGCCATAGCATTGCTACATCTTATAATGTCATTTTGCTTTAATGGGGTAAATATTTTGAGAACTCGCATCATCATAAATTCGCAAATTTTAAATAAATTAAAAGAGTTTGTGATATATAACTAAACAAGCACATTTATATGTTAAAACTTGCATCATAAAAATTATATCATTTTATAATAAATCATATTTTTTATAATATTCTAATATTATATATGATTTTAATTTCTTTAATTTATAAGTTAAAGAAATGTAAAACATAAAATTTTATAAATATAATTTTTTTCTGAAATTATTCTTTGATAAATTTTTTTAAATTCTTTAGAATAATTTATAAAAAATGTTTTGTGATTTTATATTGTATATATGTGATTTATTTATATTAATCACAAAAATACCTTACGCTTGCTATATTTAATATTGCAGCAAAAATTAAAATAACAATTACTATATGCATGATATTTCTATTATTATTTTTTTTATCATTGCATTTTTAAGCTTGTATAATGCAGTAAAAATACTAATTTTATATTCCATATGCTTTAAATTAATTTAAAATATCTGGTATATTAAACAGTATTTTATAAGAGCACTTTTGCTATAACAATTTCATTCATAATCATTATCTTTTGTAGAATTAAAATTAAAATTATTTTTCATATCATATGTATTAAAAAAATAACTAAACAGATAAAATATTATTTATAAATTCATCATATTATAATATCATATTTCTAATATTGCAGATCATTTTTATATTAATATAGAATTCATTTTTATTAAATATCTTGTTAAGATATAAAATTTAAATGTAAGCAAGAAATATATTAAATTGCATTTCTGTAAATTGTTATATACATATAAATATAATATAATTTTTTTTCTTTATTTAGCTCAAACAAGCAGTCATACTGAAGAACAATCTCTAGTTAATAATGTTCCTACCACAAATGTACCTAAATTATTGGAAGATCAAAAGAATGAAGATGATAGTTCGAGAGAATCACAAAATGATACATTTATAGATTCTCCTGCAAATCTTTCTCTACAAACATCTCATGAAGAAATAACAAAACATAATACAATTGAATTATTAAATAAAATTTCACAACAGATTAGTATACCTATAGTATCATCTGATTTAAATCAATCTTGTACAATTGGAGAACAGAAAATAATAATTTCAACAAAAGAACTAGAAAACAAATTACAGAATAAAGATTTTAAAATTACTATAGATATTCATCAAATGAATCAACTAGATATTAAAGATGAAAAATATGCAAAAGAATTATTAACTTCATCTGAAATTTTAACAGTTAGCCCTGTTCCAATTCAAGTTGCAGAATCTGTGTTAGATTCTCAAATAATATCGCAAGAAGATCTTTCTTCTACAATGACATCAGTTCATTTAACAGAAACAGAAAATAAAATGCATATTAATGATTCAAAACTTTCAATAGAAAATAAAGAGAAATTAAATTTAGATAATATCACAAATATAAAAAGTATTGATGCTATCAATAAATTAAATAAATTGTCAATAAAACCAAAAGAAACTTCACAAATCTCATTGATAGTAGAACAAATTCAACCTCAATTTGTAGAAATTGAACCTACATTATCTTCAAATAGTTTTGAAATACCAGAAAAATTAATGCAAAAACAAACAGAACAACAAAGAAAAAGTGAATATTGTATAAAAGAAACAATAAAATTAAATGAAGTAGGATCAGAATATGAAACAAATAAAATATTAAACAAATCTCCAGTTAGACCTTTAAGAATAAAAGAATTAAATTCTTCATCTTCAACAAGTATTAAAGAAACTGCACAATGTGATTCAATAAGTCAAAAAAAATTAATAAAAAAGATAATAAAAAAATCTACAGAAAAATCAGGGGAACTTGTAGAAGCAAATGATGGTGATACTAAAAAAAAAGTAACAAAAAAGATAGTAAAAAAGATTACAAAGAAAAAATTAAAATCAGAAGAAGGACTAGATGATAATACAGTAGATAGCAGTTCTTTTAATAAACAAAAAAAGACTTTAAAAGTTGTTAAAAAAGGTATAAAATCGTCACAACAAATTTTTACTGATACTACTACTTCTGAAATTCCAACATCTAGTACTTCTGATTTAGTTCCAGTTCCACCTAAAAGAAAAGTGAAAACTATAGCTTCAAAATTGGTTATTAAAAAATCAGATATAGAATAGTAATTAAATCATAAAAACTGACAATAATTATTTAAATATTTTACATAAAAGTTTAAAAATTCTAGAAACTATAAAAAGAATAAAAGGTGATACTCACTAGTCTTTTCTAATTTTTTATACTTTTAATATGTTAAACAGTATCACCTACAGATTTGATATTTGTTTGAATTTTGAAATTTTGTTAGATAATATTATATTTTAATATAATATTTTGTTTCATAATTTATATATATTTTATTACATTACATGTGTTCTTTTTTTAATTATATGTCAGTACTAAATAAAACTTTTTTATATTACATCCCTATCTATTTGTTTGCATATATTGAAATGAAATACAATTGAAAGAATAATTTTTTGTATAATTATTATAATGAATATATTATTTTAATGTGTCTTAACTAATTTTTTACTCATATATTAGCTTCAACTTATTTAATAACATATGTATGAGTAGCTGTGATTGATTAACTTAATTAAAATATACATTATTTTAATAAAAATGCACAAAAATATCTTTACAGAACAATTGATCAAAAAATGTTATAAAAAATAATTATATATTTATACATTTTATATGTATCAATTTGTACCTATATTTATACATATACACATAACATATATAATATGCAATCATTTTATCATCACATAAATTTTTAATTTAAAAAATTGTCAGATATTTGTGTTTAAATACATTTATTAAGATCAAAAGATATATAATTTTATTTATTATCATTTAAAAATAATCCATTTTAATTTGTAAGCAAAATTTAATAATTAAATTTAATAATTAAATTTAAGTATATTAATATCAATATTATATCGTATCATATGTAATATCAATATATAATATCATATAATCATATCAATATACAATATAAAACAGAAAATTTATTTATAATAAATTATTTTTTATTATATCTAATTTTATGATAAATAAATAATGAAATTACATATTTTTTTGTTTAATGCATTATTATATAGAAATGTTTAAAAAAAAATGTATTTTTTTGATTAATTTACAAATCTAATTTATTCAATATCAATTATAATTATATTAATTTTATTTTTTATTTTTTTTTTCAATTTTCCAAAAATACTTCGAACTCATTTTTAAAAATCTTTTATTATAAAATAATTTTATTGATCAATTTAATATGATTAATTTAATTAATAATAATAAATATAATTATTATCATATATATAATATATAATCATATATATCATATATAATATAGTTAATGAAAGTTGTAAGTTAAAATAAATTACAAATAACAATAATCTATATTAAAATATATTAATTTTATACACATAAAATTTATTACGTATTAAAATATTGGTTAGGGAATATATCCCTATTGTCAGATAACCCGCACAGCAGGCGCAAGCTTGCGCCGCAAGTAGATGCGATGCGAGTCTACGGCAGTCTCCATATAGTCTTAAGCAGTATGGTCGCTTGTACAGTTTTCTATGAGTGACAAGTAACGGTTTCTACATTAAGAAAACTTCGAATAATGATTTATCATAACTGAAGTGAACCGAAATTGGTGTAATGATCAAAGATATGGCTGATGATGAGGCCATACAGGCCACTAATGATGATGCAAGTGAGTGTAAAAGATATGCTGTGCAACTTAGTTACTGGTCCGATCCATTTATCAACTTTTTCGTAAAACAAACTGGTCGAAAAGCACCTGAAATCAATCGCGGTTACTATGCGAGAGTAAAAGGAATTGAGGTGTTCGTTGACAAATTCCTTAAGGTATGTATTAGTTTTTTTTCCTTTAGATTTCGTTTTTGTATCTTCAAAATTGGCATAACCTAGAACATGATAGAAACAATCCGGGATACAGCTGATTTGAGTAGCAAAGGACATGCAATGCCGGAAACCTTGACCTGGCCGAGGTCCTGTCCTAATTTCCGAAGTCCTCCTTTTATCATGAAACAATAAAATAGGTCAATCTTATATACACATTGGATATTTTGTATAGAAATAACAAACAATTGAAAGTACACTATATTTTTTAAATGATTTTTAAAATTTTTTTAACAAAAGATGAAAAAAATTGTTTTAATTATTTATGTTTCAAATATAATGATCAAATAAAACTGAAGCATAATGTATATATATTTTCATATTATTATTTATAAATTTTTATAATTGCTAATTTATATAAAAAGAAAAAATACATTAAAATATAGAATAAATTTTATATTTATTATTTTAATTTTATATTTAAATAAAAATAAATATATAGATAAATTTATTTATCTAAAATGTACAAATAAAAAATTTGTGATAAATATAGCTATCTGGTGAAGAAGGACAAATTATAAACTTGGGTGCTGGATTTGATACACTTTATTGGAGACTTAAGGAAACAGGAAAGAGTCCAGCAAATTTTATAGAACTTGATTTTCCTAGCATTACTGCTAGAAAATGTTATCACATCAAAAAACATAAACAATTGATAGATATGTTAAATACAGAAGGTACATAATTATAATATTAAATTCTAATTAATTCTATAATTTTTCTATCTTTATGCATAAATTTTTATTAATTAAAATTTATTTTGCAGATGGAGAAATTAGGTTTTCAACAACAGATCTACATGCTGCCAATTATCATTTGGTGGGAATAGATCTGCGGCACATATCTGAACTTATTAATAAATTAACACAAGCAGAAGTTAATTTTAATCTTCCAACCATGTTCCTTGCAGAATGTGTTTTAGTGTATATAGACACTAGTGCAGCTTCTGCATTGTTAAAATGGCTTGCTGGAAAATTTCCAAATAGTATTTTTGTTAATTATGAACAAGTGAACATGAAAGATAAATTTGGTCAAGTTATGTTGTCTAATTTACGTAGTCGTGGATGTTTGTTAGCAGGTGTAGAAGATTGTGAATCTTTGGAAACTCAACAAAGACGGTATATCTATCTCTTTTTATGTTTATTTTTTAGAAGAATTTATAAGAATTTATTATAAAAGTTATATAAATAAATATAATTATATGTTTCAGCTTTATAATAAACAGTTGGGAAGGCTCTAATGCATGGACAATGGTAGAAGTCTATGATTCACTGCCTCAAGATGATCGTAGTCGAATCGAACATATAGAAATGTTGGATGAGCGAGAACTTTTAGTTCAATTATTGCAACATTATTGTATCTCAGTTGCTTGGAATGGACAAACATTTAAAAATTTGTCTATAGCACAGGGTTAGCTTTTCTAACTCTTATAAGTTACTCCAGGTAGTGATACTGTGTCATTAAAAATCTTTAAGCTTATAAGTACATATGTGGTAACTAATGATACAAAATCATTGTTTATTATTAAAATGAATAAGTTTTAATCATAAATTTATAGTATAGATTATTATAATGTAATGTTTGCTTTATGATAATATAGTTTTTTCTGTTATATATATATACTTCATATTTCCTTAAAATTGTGAAGAAATAATTTATAGAATTACATGATGACTTACATTAAAATTATATAAAAATTAATTTTAATTAATTTTATTTGGTAATAATAATCTTTAGTTTATAAATATTGTGACTATGATATTAAAATAGTATTATTGAAATTTTAAATTTTCTTTCATATTTTCTTTCATATTTTTTGAGCAACTAAATATAATCTAACATTAAAAAATACAAAGTTTCAATTGTGTAATATTTCTTTAATTTCTTAAAATTCTATTTTATATTTTCTGTAAAATTAACTTTCTAATTAAAACTAATTTCAGCATTAACAATTTTGTTTTCCTATATTATTTACTACTTTGTACTTGGAAGCTTTTATATATTACATTTATAAATTTCCTACTAAATCGTAACTTTAAATAATATTATAAATTATTGATTAGTTCTACATATGCAGTTTCTTATGAAGATAATAGATACAACGAAAGAGTGATTTCACTAAACATGAAAAAAAATAATATATATTTTAAAAATTTATTTTTAAAATGTTCATTTTTAAAATATATTTTATAAATGTTCATTTATATAAATTTAAGATTTAATTAAAATACAATTGCTATACATTTACAAAACAATCATTTAGATTATTAAAAAAATGGAGAAAATTGCATTTCCATTATTATTATTTTATTATTTTCGTAAAAATATAATAAATAGGCAAATTATAAAAATGTAAAAAAAATAACATTATCATTAAAAAATGAAAGATTAATACATCAATTATATAATATTTGAATCAATTTTCTAATGAATTCAAGTTAATTCATGAAATTATTGAGAATAATATTAAATATAATTTAATAAAATATGAACAATATTTTATTATAAAAAAATTTCAATTTGATATGAAAATCAAAATTAATACTAAAGAAGAAAATTTATGAAATAAACATGATATTAAAAAATTGTTATATTAATAATTAATCGTGAAATCGTTCTTTGTTTCTATATTTTAATACATTGATTCTTATTTAATTTTAATTATTCTTCTTTTTTATTCATGATATAATATAATTACTGATATTCTTATAAAGGCTTATTAGACCATAAGGTATAGTACATAGGAGAAACACACAAATATATTACAGATTATGAATTCATGTTATGGAATTCATATGTTTTTAAAAATAAAATTACATACCTGGAGTAACACAAATATCAAGAAATAATCTAATATTCTATTTTTCTGAAAAGTTATGAATTACAGTTATATCTGTCCACAATGATAAATTCTTTCCAATTTCATGTTTTAACATTTAATAATAAAATCATACCTCATCATAATACTTTCATGCCATCTTATTTACATTTGAATAATATTTATTATATGTGTTAAATACTTTAACAACTTAAAGTTTGAGACTCAAATTAATCATTAATTATCATAAATTGGAGAAAAACACTGCCAATGTATAGTTACAAAATCTTAACAACATATTTATTATCAAATCATATTATTTATCTATAAAATTTTACATATTTAAAAAAAAATAACAGGCATAATATATTATTTTATTTTTAATTTTTATATTTCAATATGATCAAAATTATTGTTATATAATCAATAATAACTTTTTCTTTTTTTTATACACTATAAAAAAAAAATTGATAGTTTGATTCTCAAACTTAAGTATATTTCTCATAATAATGAGATATGCAATTTTGTTTTTGCATGTACTTCATTTCACTTCACTTAATGTTATTAATGTCTTATATGGATGCTGTAAAAGTTAAATCATACAATGGCTATATTCTATGTGCTTCCATATTATAGACAGATAAAAAAATTGTCAAAAAATATATTCTTACCTTTGTGTAATGTTGTGATATTGTTAAATTATGCATTTATATTACAATTAAATGAAGATAATCGAAGATTAATATTAATTATAAATTAAAATACCATAGTATTTTTTTTTATATATAGAGTAATATTATCAAACATTTTGAAATGTATGATAAAAGAAAATTCTATACTTACATTTAATTTATTATATAAAAAACTATTATACGTTATTTTATTTCTTAAGCATTCAATTCACTATTTTGTGAGATTCAATGAAAAATAAACAGTATCTACTTTCATGTGTATATTTTTTATATAAGTTTATTTATAATATCTATTTCATATAAAAAATTTTAATTTTGTTACAAAACTATTAAATTTTAATATTACATCTTAATTCATATTGGAATATTTTATGCATTTAAAGTTCATATATATTCAAAATTATTGTAATATTAATTATTATTGTTTTAAGTAAATAATTTACAATTCTATGTTTATTGATTAGTTATTGATTTTATTATTAAAAGCCTAATGGATTTAATTGAACACATCCACCAACATCGCACATATTCTTTGAAATTTTACTTAAGTTATTAAATATATTCAATTTTTTATCAAATTTTAAATTATTATTCACACGATTAGTTGCCTATAATAAAATAATATTTATTAAAAATAAAAATAAATTGAAATTAATTTTAAGTATATTTACTTCATTGCACCAAGTTTCTGCCATAAGAAGTTCATGTTCCATATTTGGAAGATTTTTATTTGCAGATGTAGATGCCCTGCTTAATATAATAGCCATAGTATATATATCAAATGCTGCTTGAGCTAGTCTGTTAAGAATAAATTGTTGCTCCACAATATTTCTTGGTCCATATTTAATAATAGCACCTTCTATAGTTTGACCAAAAGCTTCTATACTCTATAAATGATTATTTATAAATTAATAATTAATTATTAATATCGATTATTATAAACGATTATATAAACCTTAGCACATAATGTAGCACTACTGTGTAATCTGGGATGAACTAATTGAATAAGATTACGTGTTGATGAAAATCCAATTGTGCGCATTGCTCTTTTGCTTAATTCTTCAAATATTAATCCTAAATTGATAGTAGGAATCTTAATTGCTGACATTAATTGTTGCAAATGAATTCCTGCATGTTGAAGTCCAGAAAGTACAACAAAAATACGAAGAATATCATTAGTTCCTTCAAAAATTCTAAAAATACGTAAATCTCGCATAACTCGTTCGAGACCTGTATCTTTCATATATGCCATTCCACCTAATATTTGCATAGTTTCATCACAAACCCACCATGCAGCTTCTGATGCAAAACACTAGAACAATTATTTTAAAATAATGATATCAACTTTATCTTTTTAAATTAATCTTACTTTAGAAATTGCAGCTTCTAAATAATAATCTTGACTTCCATTATCCATGTTACCCGCAATTGAATATGCAAGGCTTTCAGTTATATATTGTAACATTGCCATACGACCTAATTTTTCTTGAATACTTCCATAATAATCTATTGTATGTCCAAATTGTACTCGTTGTGTTGCATGTTCAATTGCTTTTTTAATACAATAACGCATAGTTCCAGAAAGAGCAGCAGCCATACCAAATCGACCATTATTTAAAACATTCATTGCAACCTAATAAAATACAAAATATATTGAATATCCTTTTAAATTTTTTATAATTTTTTATGTAAATAAATTGATACCGAAAAACCTTGTCCTTCGCCCTTTATAATATTTTCTGCTGGTATTTTAACATTTTCAAAATGTACTTCTGTTGTATTACTACATTTAATACCCATTTTTTTTTCTGGTGGTCCACTTATTACACCACCAAAAGATCTTTCAACAATAAATGCTGTAACTTTATCTTTAATTTTACCAGTTTTTAAATCTTGTACAGGAACTTGAGCAAAAACTGTCATTATTTCTGCTAAACCACCATTTGATATCCAAATTTTATTGCCATTTAAAATATAATGTGAACCATCTGCAGATTTTATTGCACGAGAACGAATTGAACCAGCATCTGAACCACTACTTGGTTCTGTGAGACAAAATGCTGCATAATCACCATTGCAAACTCTTGGAAGATATTTTTTTTTTTGTTCTGGTGTACCATATAAAAGTATTGCCTGTATAAATTAAATTGAATTATATCCATGTAAAATATTCTATGTATAAATAAATATATACCTTGAATCCTATACTTTGATGTGCACCTAAAGTGATACCAATACCTAAATCATTATATCCACATATTTCAACACATCTGCTATATTGAGTATTATTTAATCCTAATCCACCATATTCCTGAGGAACTTGAAGACAAAATATTCCAAGTTCCCACATTGATCGTAAAGTTTTCTCATCTATTGATGCATTATCATCATTTTTCATTGGATCATTTACTTTCTTTAAACAAAAATTTAAATCAATTAATAATAAATTGCAATTATAAATTTAAAAAAAAAAGATTTTTCATTCATTTTCTTCTTATTATAATTTTATTACCTCAAAAAATTTTTCCATAGGATCAATTAATAATCTTAATGTATCATTTTGTTCTTCAGTTAATACTTCTGGAAATGGAAATATTTGACTACTCTCTAATTGACTAATAAAAATATTTCTCACAAAAGATTGATATTTTATAGCTGTATTTTTTTCTGTTTTTTCTTCTGCTATGTTTTTTACAATAGCTTGAGTTGCTAAATATCTAAAACATATCATTTTTAATAATTTTTTTAAATTAAATTCTAAATTATAGAATATTAAAAAAATTTTATAACTTTTTATATAAAATCTATATTTTTATATTCAAAAATAAATCATTATTCATTTTTTTACATATTATATCTTTATTTATTTCATTTTAAAAATAATTGTTTATAAATACATATCATAGTTTTATATATGCATCTTATACATATTATTTATTAATTATCAAATTATTATTATATCAATTTATACAAAATGTATAGTTTGTATATATATATAAATATATATAATTGTTCAA